TTCCTGCTGTTGGACGAATAGCCCTGTTATATGAAAAGTAATCCAATCATAACATTTTGATCAACTTTAATCTATGCTCTCAGATGACACAGAAGACACAGGATACTTCATGTACAGTATATTACTCTAGATGGGTTTAGTCTGAATGTACTGAAAAAACTTAGAAAAAATCAACTGGACTAGATTGCTAGGTCAAAGACGTTTCACCTCTCATCCAAGAGGCTTCATCAGTTCTGATGAAGCCTTTTCGACCTAGAAATCTAGTCCAGTTGATTTTTCTAAGTTTTTCCAGCTTACTATGACCTGGATGACTGAGAATCTGCACAGACATCTGAATGTACTGGACATCTTACTACTATGAATGTGAATGATCGTATCTCTGCCAAAATATCCTGTGTTTAATTAATCATGTGGCTCCTGGTGATTTTGCTATGCACTGTTGTATGTACTGACAACTATCATTGAATTATTTTGATACTAAATAATTTGTTAAAAACTGATGATTTTCAGGTAGGTTCTGCAGAGTTCCAACCTAAGATCAGGATCTCATAATTACAACATCCTGATCTTGTTATTAGGCGATCCTGATTTCATAATTATGAGATCAGGTTAGTCACCAGTGAGTGAGTCAATGAGGTTCCCTAACCTGATTTCATAGTACCTCCTGCCAAAATTTTGCTCCGGTAACTCACCTCCAAAGCGGGCAGAATTCATGATAAGGTTTATATGTTCTGTTACAGTTCGGTGGGTTCCTACAGTGGAAAAGGCCTATACATTTGTGCTTTCCCATGAGGAAATAAAATTTAAATAAAACAGCAAACATAAGCAATACACACTCAGACTCGTTTCAGTGTTGCAGACTCATTCAGCCAGAAGAGATTATCACCGAGCAAAGCTATATGATTCATTTGTAAGATTTGGTTACTCACCACAAAAGGACACAATATGGCTGCTGTCTTCATGAACAAATTTCCTGGTGACAGCTTCCTCCATAATCTGCTTCACCTGTCAATGACAAGGCAGATGCTGGATGACTCATTCATTTATACTGTATGCAACACACACACACACACACACCACACACACACACACACACACACACACACACACACACACACACAGTCTGTGTGGGGCCTTTCTGACTGTGTCATGTACTGTATATCTTTCATAGAATAATTCTGAGTATTTATAACACTAGTGTATGTGTGTGTATAAAAAAAGGTAAATGATGGGAAGACAAAGCTCAGGGCTGAAAAGTTAAGAGGAAGAGGAGGAAAAACACTGACTGGGAAGAGTGATGGATGAGTCACCAGCTCTCATCCCAAGGAGCTCTACTGGAAAACGGAGGTGGTACATTTCGGGGTGGAGGGGAAATAAAGGAAAGGGGGGGGGGCATCCACCCCAGACCCCCTTTTGAGAACAGTTTATAATCCTCAGTGGGAGCAACTGATTCTTTTGCTTCAAAGCCTGATTAAATCCTACTGAAGCAGACCCAGTTTCTTTTGAAAAAAAGATGGAGAAAGTCCAACATGTACTCACAAAGTAATGTTCGTTAATTAGGTTTGCCTCATCATGGTGATTTGACTTTCTATGCGCTGACCCTGTCAAAAGCTACAGAACAATACTTAAGACGACTGATAAATCAATTCCTCTGGTGGTTATGGAGACATCTCCCTGTGTGGACACCGCTCTGCACGGGGAATATCAATCTCCGGATACAGCCACACAGCAGTAATTTCCTGTTGAAATGAGTCTGTTAGCGACAACCGTATTACATACATCATCATCTTCTACACAAACTCAGACACATGCACACACAGACAGATATTTTGCTCCAAATTTTGAGGTTCCCTGTGTTCTGTTTTAAACTTCTTTCCAATCTACATACGGATTCAATCTGTCGGTGGTGTGAGGAAATCATTTCTCTGTCAGTCAGTTTGGTCATCACAAAGCAGCCAGCTGTCAAACAATATTACTTTTCATGGCTTAATATTTACATCTTGATCATAAAATTTTCCCAGAGATAAAGTTCTTTCTCCAGGTTACATTTTCCACTGTGGCTCAATTTTATGGACCAATGCTTTTAATATCTATCTTACCTGCTATAAAGAGATGGACTATGACACCTATGATTGTGATCATCTGCTTACAAAAAAGTTGTAATATGTATTATGAGTTAAAGTAATTTGTTAAGCAGTTGTAATGTGAGCTGAAATATTGGCAGTAAAATGTACTGGCAGTAAAAATATAAAAGTAGCCTAATTATTAGTCATATTCATCAGAGGAAAGGTCCGTGTGAGAGTGTTATGCTATGATATTATTATTACTGGGGCATTGCTATCTTGCATTTTAATGTTGTAGTTAGTCAAAATGAATTAAATCTGCATACTTTACTGTATATACTGTACTGTTAGGTAGTTTAATGTGAGACACTGTATCATCTTTCATCAGCTGATTTATGTATGCAAATCTTGATCTGCAAAATTAGCAACAGTATCTCTCAAATGTAGTACTAAGTGTTAAGGCTTTGTCAAATGTAGAGAAGTATAAAGTGGTATAAAACAGAAATAACCAAATAGTCAAACTCAAAACTGTAATTGAGTAAAGGTTCTTTCTACCACAGGCAACTTAATATTGTGTTATCAATGCATCACAATGTAGTATGTTTTATGAAAATGTAATTAGGCAGACATTTATAGATAATCTAAAAATAACCTGATATACAGATGTTTTTGGAGTATTCAGAAAAACACTTGAAAAAAATGCAAATTGCTATTAAAATTATAAATGTAAACCATCTTTCAAATATAAAATTATACTAAAACCTTTTTTCCTCAGATTTGACAGTGACACACAAAACAACCAGTTTTTCCATGACAGCGCTGAGAAAAATCTGCCCACTGGAAGATGAAGCCTAAAACTGACTAATCTCTAACTCCTGAAAGGACTAAAAAGGGTTTGAAAACTCTTGGAAAACCAATGTGCCCAGAACTATGCCTGCTAAAGACATCTATATAAAAAACATTTGCTAATTAGACAGCAGTTATTATGCAAATGGGGCCTGTTCGCATCAGTAGCGCTGTTATCTTCAGCATCAACAGAAATGATTCATACTGCTAGCACAACAGAGACAGTGCCAGTCTGATGTGATGCACTCCTGCTCCGCTCATAATCAGACTTACACAAAGGCCTGTATGCGCACACACAAACACACAAAGAAAGTGCAGGGAACTTTGTGCGGCAGTTTTCTTTCTGAGTACATCTGACATACAAAACGTTGACGGATTTGGATGTTTTCTCTTCTCTGAGGAATTTAAATGGCGACGTGTCTAAGCACAGACAACCAATAGGTTTCTATGGAGATGGTACATGTCACACGGTGGATCACTTTGTATTGGATGAGTCAACAACATTCATTCATCTCTGAAATAAACAATAATAATAAAATTTAAAAAAGGTCGCAATTCCCCAACTATTACTCTACTCACAATTTGCCATTTGGAATAGCCATAAAATTCCACCCCAATATATATTTTCACTAGGATTTACAGGTAAAACATTGTGCACGACCTGACAGCAGTCATTAAATATTTCTCTTGCAGCAGCAAAGCCCGGTGAGACTGCTCTCACTAATCACAGTAGCTTCAAGGCATCATCCAGGGTGATAAAAGGTGTTCAGAGTATTCCAATTAACTCCTGCAACAGCAGAGCCAATAAACAAGGCCCAGGGAAAAAGCCTCAGCCATTAACATCCACTCATCATTATTCATCATCTCTGTTGCCACCGATGAATGAAGGAGACACACAATGAAAAAAAGATGAAAAATCATCACTGTTACACATTAATCCATGTGCATGGATCTGCAGCTGTGATGCATAGCTCTCTATTTGAATTATGATTCCATTATTCGAGCTACAATATAAAAACGAGGTAGCAGACTGCTAAAAAGCAGTGAGAAGTGAGTCCACCACAAAAATCAATGCAACCACAACATAATCTGAAATAGCTGAAAAGGCGGTCTAGTGCTGAAGCTTTTGATCACACCTGATGATCATCTTCAGCAGATGCAGTTGTCCAGTTATTAGCACTTTGAGGACTTCTTGTCCACGTTAGCTTATCCTTGTGGTCAGACTGTTTTGTTAATTTTAAAGATCGAGAGTGAACTTCCAGTCTTGACCTGAAATAATTTTATAAATCACATATCAAGGTTGAGGTGGACCACTGAGCTGCTGCTATTTTTGATATAGAGAGAAGAAACTCCTCACTACACTCACACAAGGTCATCTAGTTTATTAAACATTAAACACTGATGGTATGTTTTAATTAATTCAGTTTGATTATAAGTGTTGCACAGACTAATACAAGCTGTGCTGAGTGTCAAACTTCTAGCAGCATCTCTCAATACATCCCATCCATGTTGAGACCTGATTATGAGCACATTAACCTGAAGAGGTCAAAAACTGCATATCCGTGTCACTCTCTTTTTGGCAGCAATATTAGATGATTTCCCTGCAGCTTTTCTCTGCAGTATTAATCAACCCTGTTCTAATGTTTTCTATCAGTGTGCTACTAGGAATCAATATATGCAATAGAACACACAGGACTGGTGGATTATCTTACAATCTGCTGCCAGAAACCTTACCCCACTCAGCCTTAAAAAAAAAAAAAAACAACAGGAAAGTAAATGGTGCCGATCTCTGTGGCCTGCGTATTTTCTAATAGTCCTGCTCCCTCTTTTTCCTTTAGCAAACACAGGTGTGTGTTTGTGTTGGTGTGCACGTGTGACATACAAAAAGGCAGAGGGAGGAGCACGATCAGATCAAGACAAAGAGACATAACCAGACAGACAGACATAACCAGACAGAGATAGGCTCTGTATCAAAGCTAAGGCAAATAAGAGATCTCATTCAAACCAATTTTGTGCCATGAGGTAATTCTGTTGCCATAGACATCCTGTGCTCTCTGGATAATGGCCCACATCCAGGTATATCTGAGCAGACGGGTGGCACACAACCAGTTGGATAAGGAGAGCATGAGAACACGCAGCGCAGAGATGCCGTATGGTATAACCCACACAGAGAAATAACAATCATGAACTAATGGGACATAGTATAAACATCACACATCATTCCTTTGAGAGGAAAAGATTTGAAAAACAACTTCAAATTCGAGCTTTTCTGTTTACTCTCCTAGACTAATGCTAATTTTCATGAAGTGCTATCTCTGAATTAAATGAGCTATCATGCTAACAAACTGTGCTGTTGGTCCCTCTATGGACTCCATCAGTTGAATTTGTTGTAAGCAGCTGAAGAGCCACTGTTACTGAATCTCAGCAGGCATATCGACATACAGGAGGTGGGTTTAATCATGGGAAGGGTCTGGTTTCTACTGATAAGACTGCAAACAGAGGAAAACAATACAGAGCTGTTTCCACATTCCTCTGTTCACAGAATCTAGGGCGTGATTTTTCCCTATGTTTCTTTGGCAGAAATAAAGTCTTGCAATTTATGAAGCAATGAGAGATCAAACTAATAAAAAAGATGAATCAATTGTCAACAAAAGAAGTTTTTTTTTTAAGGGTCTAGACTGATAAGGGAATCTGGTCCGGAAAACGGAATGATTAACTCCGCTCTAATAAAGGTATTGTTAATATTTCTCTGCTTCGGTCATTTTGCTTTAGTGACCAAAACACACAATACTAGCTGAGGCCGGTTTATGTTGGAAAGCTCCCAGAACTGAAGGTGTTTGCTGTTAATGGTTTGGCCTAAATGTTAAGTGAAGTGTTGGTGATAAAGAGTAAATATCCCCAGAACACTGGGAAACAACAGCCTCAGCAGTAGTGACCACAAAGTACACACCACTGTAGGACAATGGAGTGGCACACACATCAGTTTGCTAATATGTCAGGCTGAGACTCAGCTTTCATTAAAAATAAATTAACTATCATCTATCTCTAATACAGTACATGTATTAGTTTGCTTGAAGCTGAATTGTAGCCTACATCTATAATTATTAAATCACACTGTAGTGAACATTTGAATGTTTCTGCTATTATAAGTGTGCTTCAGTTTGTTTCCTTTCAGTTGTTCAATTATTTAGCCTGACTTGTGAGCTATGATAAATGTGTTTGCTAAGGGAGATTTACAGATACCTGATTAAAACAGGTCTTACCTCACAAACTCCTACACAAGATTCCTACATAGAAGTTACTAATTATTAAATTATCAGTGTTTACTAGCAGTAACTTTGGTGTAAGTGCTGTTAAAGCTAGCTGCCTGAACCAACAAACAAAGCTAACTTTAGCTTGCTAATATCACGTTATATAGCCAAAGCAAATAGCTAATGTTACGTTAGTCCGTTTAGAAGAGTAAAATGTGTACAGTGGGGTCGTCATATCTGACTTGACCCTTGTTCTGAAAAATGCTGTTAAATGCTGATGTAAAAGTTTATGAAACTGCATTTTGCAAAACAACAGCCTATAACGGCGCTATAGCCGTTTCATACCAGTCATATTGCTTTTAATGCTGCATTCACGCGATGTCGGCAAAAGGACATACAGGAAAAGACATGCTATTCTGAGCAGTGTTCAAGCACTATGATTATTACGAGGTGGTTAGCCTTAGTGCTAATTTCGTAGTCATTTCAGATAAACAGTCTAAATTTGCTCATTTGCGTTACGTATTTGTAGAAATCTGTTACCAAGGGAAATCAGACAGGCTATAAACAAACAGTATATCTCCTGTAAATTAGCTGAATTGTATTAATGCCAGCTGTGGTTTGTAGCTATCCACCAACAGGTTGTTGTCATATCTGTAGTTCTTTCCACTAAATGGGAGAAATCGTCGGCAGACGCATTTTGCCACGTTAAATGACCATTTAACACACACAGGAACGTGAACGCAGCACGAGCCATTTAGCAAATAACTAATTTAAAAGCATTTATGAAGGACTTTAACACATTAACATAGTGACGGATTTAAGAATAGCAGGTGTAACCCCACCCTGTGCTATGAATGCAGTTTCAGATCCTGAATAGGCCTGTTTGTCTGTTTGAAATTATTGACAGCTACAAAATAAGAACTTCAGTCCATATGAGATGAATGCTGCAGGTCATAACAATGTGATAATAGGTAGCCACGATAAGCAAGTTGAGAATGTGGATATTTAGCTGGTGTGACTCAAAATCAGTTTTCTTTAAAAACCAGTGAAACCCAAGAGAAGAAGTTGGCCTAACAAATCGTCATCCATTTTCCTTCAAATGGATACTCATGCAGCTTGAGCTTTACATTTCGGCATCAGCACCATCTGCCTTCATATGAAATGATGACAGTGACATTTTGAAACTGAATAACATGTTGCACATCTTTATGCATGCATGTATTGAGTCTTTGCTCCATCATATGGGGCACAAAATGTATAACAAAAGACTTAAGTTTCCTGAGAGCTCTCTGTTTATATACAGGGATGAAGATCTCCAAGAAGAAACCACATTCAAGGGCTGAATGTCAGACAGACTAAATGGTAGTGACGTTTAATATGCTCTATGCTGAACTCTTAGTGTTGAAAGGCAGCTGAAAGACCCACCAGACCTGCTTGCATATTTGTTTCCACTCAACACCATAACTCATTAAATGTATTACACACACAGGAACATGTTGTGTCTGACTGAAACCACCAAATAGCTTGGCAGAAGGCTGATAGTTTGCATTACCATAAACACCACAAACACTGACTATAGACAATCTGTTTGTTTCATGCTGCTTCTCCACCTGAATAATTACTGAGCTGCAGCACGGACACCACTGAATAAGAAATATAGATTTTACAGTAAAGAACATCCAGTACTGTAATGACAACTGCCAGCATTCTAATATCTAACAAAGCCTTGCTTTCTAATCATTTTAAGAAGGTTGCGATCCAGATGAGCGTCCAAGACACACCAGGTGTCCTCACCAGGAAAAGAAGGAACATTTAGCACAAGCAGGGATCACGTTAGAAACCTCCCTCTGTACAGGACGAACTATACAGCTTCATACAAACCAGCGTGTTTGTTTTTCCGACTCGTTAACTGTTGAGCTGAAAACACCCACCTCCTTCTTGACAGTGCGCAGCAGCCTCTGTCGGGTTTCTGCTTCTATAACACAGCACACACAGTCCCACACAAGACATTTATACTCGGTATTACAACTTAACTTCTATTCTACAGTATCTCAATTGAACACAGATAGGATTTTGACATGTTTGTCTTCATAATTTTTGCTCCCACCTGCCATAATTGTTGCCATGGATGCTGTCTGTGCGTGCAAGTAGCAGCCCTCCCCTCAGCAGTGAGCGCTGCTCGGACACTGCGAGGTGGCTCACGACTCCACCCCCCCCTTCACACACGCCTCTTAAAGATGCACACAAGAGCCCCCATTGGATGATCTAGCAACCAGTAGAGCAGCCTAATATTTACATTAACAGCTTTCTAGCCCTAACATCTAAATGTATTCTTTCATTATAGCTGCCTACAACAACAATATTGCGTTCCAGATGTGCTTTCAGTGACAAGTCAGTGTACATTTAGCTAAGAAGTAGACAATAATTTATTGCCATTCAATGCAAATAAATGAAACAAAAAATCATAAAATATGTTTTATGATCATGAAGTGTAAACAATAAATGGACATGATACAATATGTCGAGGTCTGACTTTTGTTTGTAAATTTCCCTGACATGGAAACATTTTGTCTACATGCCACCTCGTGGTCGAAACGTGGAATGACAGTCAGATAAAATCATATAAAGTACCAGATACTATAGATCCAAATCGCACAGATTCCTATAGAAATGAAAATGTGGTTCAGCTTCTGACCCAACCTTTGGATGAGCTATTTTAATGATCTGTCTCATTTTAAACCACATGTGTCACTTTGTTTTCAGAGTGATATGTTCAGAAAAAATGCTCAAAACATGAGGCATATCAGGTCATATTTCAGGGTTAACATCAGTAGCGAGGATAATCAAAATGTTGTGTTTTCATTTGTAGAAACAGTTGTGATGCTTCCACATATTACAATATAGTGGCCATTGTTTGATTTGATTTGATTTGATTTGATTGTTCCAGCCATCTGGCACCTTTAGTTCAGTACAGTGTTTAAAGAAAAATCTATTAAAGAGCTAAAGCAGTAGACAAAAAAACATTCAATTCTTTTTGTTTCATGCATAATTCAAATTATTCCTAACACACGTGGATAATGCTTCAGCGGTGTAGCTCATACTGTCCAGAAGGGGGCGACTGTGCCATTTCTGACCCCAAAGACCCAAAAAGAGTATCAGTAAACCCATATGGACTGTAATGTTTCAGCTTTTATTGAACTATGGAACCACCTTTCACACTTATACCTAGTGCATGAGTGGGAACACATTCAAGAAAAAAGAAACATCACAGTCTTTATTTGAACTGGACAAGGTTGATATAGGCTTCAGTGCACTAGAGTCTTGGGGCCATAAGTCCAGTACTGACTGGAGGACTAAACTGTCAGGTAGATCAGATGGTGAAAGAGAGGAGTGATAACACAGGATGACAGACTGAGAGGAGCAGAGGGCCCCCTCAAAGGTCCTTTTATAGTTTTAGTCCCAGCCAAATCCTTGGGTTGTTCTGTGGATGAACATGTGAAGAAATGAGTCCTAAACCGTGAGCACTAATTACATTGTCAGACCTGTAATCTTACAATTCGACATGGTAATACCAGGCCAAACAACAAGTGCCAAACATTCAGGCATTCAAATGTAATTAGGTGATATATTTTTAAAATAGTCACTGAAAATATAAAGCAGTGGTTTATGTGTCTTTTCTAAAGGAAGGCATTCTGTTTCTGCAGTGGCTTCATTGTGATGTCTGTGTCTTTCTTCCTGCATTTTCCTCACAAACATCCTTTTAAACCTGAAATTCCCTCATTGCTATGACTCCCACCTTTAGATAATATGAGGTAATAGCATGTCTTGTTAAAACCTCTGCCTGAGTAAATGGCTCACCAGAGCACCCGACCAGCTTGCCTTTGCTTATATCAAAGGGAAGCCGACTGTGTATTTGTATTATGTTAGTTAAAACACCTGCATTTATTTAAATCATTATTCCGCACAAAACCATGACTGTTTAAAATGATGGTCTCATGTCAGTAGGGGATAAAATATAAAATCCCCAAATATACCCCTGGTTGTTCTTTTGAATCAAAATAAGATGCAAGTAATTAAAATTACAAATAGAACAGGCTCTAATGGAAATTTTTCACTTTTTTAGACTTAGAAGACAATAATAATCAAAAGAATCAAAACTAGAGCCAACTGAATGCTGGGAAAATATTAATTGTTATCTAAATGACAACAATTTAAATGTGTTTCAAATAAAACTAAGCACAGTTTTAGAAATAACAATGTGTCGTATCGGTGTCTGTCTGTCTGTGGACAGGTACAACGGGCACATTTTCATGTGTGATTAGAGTCGACATGCTCTAACAGGCAGCAGAGCATGTGGCGGGAGACCTGTCAGTCTGATGTTCTTCTGCCCATGTGCCGATGCAGTCTGACAGTATAGTACTGTATTTTAGAAAAGGCCAGTGCTGGATAGTTTGTTGTATGCTGCTATGCTTTTGACCCTTGGGGGGCAGCCATAACCTTTTCTCCCAGACTGGATGGTTGCTTAATACTCACCATCCATCCATCCAGTATCTTAAAGTAAGTTATCAAACAAATCATCTGCATTTCACCCTTTTACATCTTCAGCCAGTCAACGAGTCACATGACAGGAGGCCAGACAGTATGGCTTTTGAGTAACAGTTTTATGTTGGTGTTCGGTGTCTCTTGTCCTGTCTCTGTGTCATATCCATCACACAAAGTCATTTTATTTGATGTACTCTGTTTGCTTGCAGACCTGTGTGACTGATCCTTTCTGAATATTGAGTTAGCAGCGTTTTCACTCTGTGCTGTGGTAAAAGTGATGGATTTTATTACAAAGTTGTTTTGTTACGTTTTCCTAATGAGTTCACGTAAGCTGCTGTGATTTTATTCTGCTGTCTTCACCAAACTATATTAGCATAGGATCAAGAAATAAAGATGGCTCAAGGGTTTCTGTATCAGACTTTTGGAAGCTTATATGGACCCTGCTTATTGGTTAAAACAAGGTCTTGACCTTGTTACCAGTTTAACTTTTTCTCCAGCTTTGACCCACCTGTTTAATAATAATCACCTTTATTTGGCCAAGTATGTTACACACATGAAATTTGTCTCCTGTAGAGAACCGAGGCAGCCATCTGCAGCGCCAGCTCACACTGATGGCTCTAACCATTGGGGGCAATTTGGGGGTTCAGTGTCTTGCCCAAGGACACTTCAACATGTGGACTAGCAGGCACCAAGATTCGAACCTATGACCCTTCATGTGATTTTACATAGAAAATTTGATATTGTCAATAAATACATAAAAAATGAATAATTAATATAATCATGTACAAAATTTCCAGGCACCATATGATCATGATCACGATTATGGAAAATATTTCGTGATTTTAAAAAAAGCTCCAGAACAGCTACTAAATGTACCTTGTGGTGATACTTCCTCAGCTGCAATAACTGGTTTCATACATTCTTGGGATGGTAAGAGTGACCATGATATATTCAAAGGTTTCAATTACATACTAGTAAGACAAATATCAATAATCCAGTGGATGGGGTGATGGTGTGAATAATGAACTTTACATATCATGTAATGTTACTGAAGAATGAAAAACAGCAGACATAAATCTTACAGTAATAACCCTTACTATAACAGCAGTGTTTAGTTTGCAGGGCCACTTTATTCAGAATCCAATTAAATTTTGCCATAAACTTGTCATTTTTTAGGCTTGGCAGCACACAGAGGCTGTAAAACCCCCAGCAGGACGTTGATCTCTGTTAGTGAAGGATGGTGAACAGCAAAGATAAATCTGGACACCCACCAACATTGGTTTTGATTTTGCTGGAAAAATTGTTACAGTTACTTTAATGTGAATTAATATGATGTTTTGCCAGAAGCTCGTATTTTAATTGATGATGGGAAGAAAGAATGACTGCTGAAAGCTGCATGTCTATCAGTCCAAGCTGATGGTTAGCTCACGGGGTTTGAAGTCAACAATTCATTCCCTTGAAGCTGCTACAAAAAGTACAAAGCCAGCATAAAAGGATCCATGTTATTGATGAGCTACAACACAATCGATGTAGAGCATCTAAACCTGGTGAAACTCTCTAGTTGAAAGAGAGTTAAAAGCTGCTGTGAGTAAAACCAGACCGCCTCTCTGGTCGGATATCTCCAAGTGTCTGCGGCTCCTCCCACTCGGACCTGTCATCTTTTGAGGAGAATCCGCCTCCTCCCTGTGGAGCTGCTCCTCTGACTGACTTTTCACAGTCCGTTGCCCCGACAGGACTCAGCAGTCATGGCCGGGAGTCTGACCCACCACGGCTCCCCGAAGCCCGGCTACAGCTCCGCCAACGCTGTCCCTGTGCCGGTCATCACACAGACGGACTCCAGGGACAAATGGAGCAAAAAGATGGATTTTCTATTGTCTGTCATTGGCTTTGCTGTGGACCTGGGAAACGTTTGGAGATTTCCGTACATATGTTATCAAAACGGTGGAGGTAAGTTATTTAGAGACTTTTATCAGACCATTCAGTTTAATTTCACAAGTTAAGATGTGAGTAACTTCAGTTCTCATGAGCGGAACCACTTGGTAAAAACTTATATATTTCAGTGAAATCTCAGAATTTGTGCTCAAAATGGTTTTAACAGAAACTGTCCATGGTGCTGAAGAACGCATCTGTAGCCTTCACGTCACCATCGGCCCCAAAAGGGTCTGACATTTTCCCGACGAGATAGTTTTTGTTTGATCGCTTTTTATCAGCGGTTTAACAATAAATAAACTGGACAAATCCCCACCAGGACAAACCTTTTTAAATAATTAGTATTTTATTTATTTATTTTTGCAAACACTTCAGCTTCTAGTGAACATATACGCTTTAAAATCAGGACAGACTGGTTAAGTCCTTATGTTTATATTGTTGGGTTGTGTTTTACATGGTAGTTAAACATCAGCAGTTGAGGGACGTTATGGCAAGGAGAGCTTAAAAGTTTAAATAATAAGGCAGCTGAATGTGCTGCACAGAAGACATAAAAAGGCATTTTATCAGGGGTGAAAATGCATGAAGACGACTAAAAAAATTGAAGAAGACTAAAAACCTTCATGACATGTAACCTCATGCATCCCTGTGCAGGTGCGTTCCTTATTCCCTACATTTTGATGGCCATCTTCGGTGGTGTGCCGCTCTTTTACATGGAGCTGGCACTGGGACAGTTCCACAGAACAGGAGCCATATCCATATGGAAACACATCTGTCCCATTTTCAAAGGTAAGGCACTCTGCTGCTCAATAGCAGATAATAAAATCAGTTTCTGTGGCAAATCTGTGACTTAAAATCAGCTTAATACAGTGACAAGGTTATAGGCTGCTTATTTTAATTTTCTATGGTTGCAAGTAATTTAATCACTAGTAAATCAAAACAAGTCAGTGAATCATTATAGGGACATTTCACAGGCAACGTCTTCTTTTCACATCTCTCTGTTCTGTTCCAGGTATAGGATATGCCATTTGTATCATCGCCTTGTATGTGTCCTTCTACTACAACACCATCATTGCTTGGGCCCTCTTCTACTTCTACTCCTCTTTCTCCAGCATCTTGCCTTGGACAAACTGTGACAATGTGTGGAATACCCCCGACTGCACCAACTATTTTGGCATGGACAACGTCACCTGGACGAATTCCTCCAGGTCTCCAGCAGAGGAATTTTACACGTAAGTGCATGTAAGTGTGAGTAACAGAAACCACATATATAAATAGCTTTACACTAATACTCGACACAGATATTATTAGCTTGTGATTTTGTACAGAAGGTGTTTTGTCTGCTGAAGACGTGGTACTTTATGTGCTTCATCCTAACAGGAGGAATGTTCTGGAGATCCACAAGTCATCAGGGCTGAGAAACGTTGGGGGTGTTCGCTGGCAGTTGATGCTCTGCCTTTTTCTGATTTTCACTATAGTGTACTTTAGCCTCTGGAAGGGCGTGAAGACTTCAGGAAAGGTACCACACTGCACATGCTGTACTGCCATAACTTTATAAAAGATGAGTGTGTATCTTTTTTACTTGGATCACGTGTCCATGATATCTTCCTGATTTCTCTCTTTCTTCCACACCAGGTAGTGTGGGTGACTGCCACCTTGCCCTACATTGTGCTTTTCATCCTACTGATTCGAGGTGCCACGCTACCAGGAGCCTGGAGAGGTGTCGTGTTTTACCTGAAACCCCAGTGGGAGAAGCTGCTGGAGACCAGTGTGAGTTGTACGAAGTTGGTCAGTCAGAAAGGGGTTGAGTTCAGTAATCTCTAACAAAAAATAAATGATCACGCCTCCTTTGAAAATTTTATTTTATACCGTTAATGAGAGCAATTGCACACTTACAGAGGAGTCATGTAATGAAATAAAACATCTGGATTTCCAACCACAAGAGGCCACTGTTTAGTGTATAGCCCTTCATTCATTTTTATCAACCAGCTCCTCGAGAAACCACCTATATTTTTTTCAGTCTATGAAACATTGACATCTTCTTCTCCGGCTTGATGCCGTTGTTTGCTAAAGGTGTCAGTGTTTTGGTTGAACGGGAATATGGATGAGGTGAAATGAGATGCATAAATAAGCCACAGAGCAGGATAATAAGATGCATAATTGCTTTAGATTTTCTGCCCATTAACAAAGGCCTCCCTTTCTGTCTCACTCACCGATATCCAACGCTGCCCTCTTCTTTTTAATGCCGAACGCGTGCTTCTCTTCTGATCTCCCTGCGTACAGCTGTGCAGGGCCTAGATTTCTATATGACTGAGGTTTGAGAACACAAATAACAAAAATAAGGAAGTGATCATTTGGGGTTGTTGATGATAATCTATTTTAAAAATATTGCATTTTGCACTGTTATAAAAACATGATAGTCTCAAATGTGAAGACTTTGTTGGTCTCTATATGTTTCTAGGTGTGGGTGGATGCTGCTGCTCAGATATTCTTCTCCCTGGGGCCGGGGTTTGGGGTCCTCCTGGCTCTCTCCAGCTACAACCCTTTCACAAATAACTGCTATCGGTAAGAAATTATCTGTCCACCAAACTAGGACACACCGATTCATGGAAATCATTTGTGATTTAAACATGATGGCGTGAATGAAAGGCTGAAACCTTTTACATTCTGCACTATGATAAGACAACACACCTCCTTTTGAATTTAAGGCTTGAATTTAATGATTGAAAGCAAATTATTGTGGAAGCTCAAGGGTTTTTTTTTTTTGTTATGTGAACTGTTGTGGGTGATACTTTAAGAACTTTAAAAAACATCTGAAGCAAGTCTTAGTACTTACCCAATTACAAAATGTTGACTTTTGGATAATTGCAACAGCTGTGCATGAGGTTCTTCTTCTTATTTTTATTTATTTTCCTTATTCTTTTTATTTATACAGTATATGCTCATATATTCTTTTTTTTAAATCATGTTGGGTGTTGTTGATGTTGTTGTCTTGTTACTGTTGCTTTTGAGTGTTGTATCTTTTCTATCTTCATATCTGTACTTGCCAGCCAAGAGAACATTATCTGCATGTCTGACAAACAAGAGTATGTAAAGGAACCCACTGAACAGACTTTCAGTGCAAACATCAGTACAGTAGACTCCTACAGTAACTCTTAGAAAAAAAGTCATATTTAAAGAAGTTTTTTTTCAGTAAAAGCAATATAAGTGTCAATTATAATACAGTAACTGTCCTGAAACAAGTTTTCGATTCTTCCTCAACAGTGACGCCATTGTCACGAGTTTGGTGAACTGCCTGACCAGCTTTGTGTCAGGGTTTGTAATCTTCACAGTGCTGGGCTACATGGCAGAGATGAGGAAGGTGGAGGTGGAGGATGTAGCCAGGGATAAAGGTCAGTGGGAAAAAAAAGATCATGAAAAGGAAACACTCAATAATAAAATCAAATACTCGCCTTAATCGTATTCGTTGTTTTCACATTTTCCAGGACCAAGTTTACTTTTCATCACCTACCCAGAAGCCATTGCAAATATGATGGGCTCAACCTTTTTTGCAATCATCTTTTTTGTAATGATGATAACGCTGGGACTGGACAGCACGGTATGAACTATGAATCTGGAAGCTTTGACTACATCACATTATTTCTTTATGTCTAAAATTATGCAGCAACATATGTGATTAAATACCCTTAATTTGGATACTGAAAATTCACGTACTAAATACTGCTAAGGCTGTCATGACTAAAAGTAACACTTCATCAATAAAGATAGCCTTTTTTTTGGTGCCTTTCACAAAAAAAAAAAACATTTTGTTTTCATTTCTTCATTGACTTCAAATAATTAAACGCATGGCCTAGAAGTAATGCTGCTGTGATGTTAATGCAATGTCTACAGAAATGTGCATTTCCCCCTGATCTAAAATATCCAGATTAATTTAATTGGCCTTGCAGACTGAAATGTGTTTAGGCTGTGATACATAGGTAGTGTAATTAAACTAACGACAACGGCTGCCTCTGTGTGTTTCAGTTTGGCGGGCTGGAGGCGATCATCACTGCTGTGTTGGATGAATACCCAGATCATTTATCTCACAGGCGTGAACTTTTTGTTCTGTGCTTGGTAGTTGTCTGCTTTTTGGGCTCTCTAAGCACTCTTACAAATGTAAGCTTTTCCACATTTTACATGTTATTAAACAAAATTCAATCCATCATCACCAAAACAATTATTTTCATGCATCTTTACTATAAGGCTGAGGTTGTTCTGAGTACTGTGTACATTACGATGCAGAGTACAGTACAGCCTAAATAGTCTGTGAAAGGACTGATGATGTTATTAGTCTGTAAAATACTATCAACAGGGTGGTGCCTATGTGGTGAAGCTGTTGGAGGAATTTGGGGTTGGATGCTCCATTATTGCTGTGGGTTTCCTTGAGGCCATTGCAGTTTCCTGGTTCTATGGTAAACAAATTTATTATTGATTTTAGTGGTATTAAGGTTTATCTTTTTTCTGTATTGTAAATCGATTATTTACAGAATCAAATGTATTATCAGCACACAAACAAATACTGTAAGCGACTTTGTCTCATGTTGCCCCTGTTACTTTTGCTGTTTTCAGGCATCAAAAGATTTAGCAATGATGTTCAGGCCATGCTGGGCAAAGCTCCAGGATTTTTCTGGAAGTTGTGCTGGGTCGCCATCAGTCCAGCATTTCTGGCAGTAAGAGACAAAATATTCTGACCTACATTTACAGTAAATACCTAACAAGTAAATCTAAAAGTCTGCAATACTAACTAATAATATTTAGAATACCCATAGAATAGTTGTTTTCAGTTACACACATTGGGAATAGTTTAACATGTAGTCCTGTAAAAAAAAAAAAAACAAACAAACAAAAAAACATTTTAATAAGCTCATCCATTTAAGTTCTCCAGAGATCAACTGGCAGTAGTTGACCAAGACATGAGTCAAAGCTCAGGTTAAGATCAAGAGAAGAGTGGAACAGTGAAGACTACAGAGAGCAGCTACACAGAATATCTTCCACATCTTTTTTTTAACAGCTTGTATATTGCAAAACACTTGGGCAAATGTCAAGTTTCCTCCTCTACACACAGTATATTTTAATATCC